AAATAAATAAATAAATAAATAACGCAACAATAAATCTTCATCTTGGCATCTAGGAATTCCAACCTCAATATATTGATATTGTCTTGTGTTAAGAAGGAGGCATTCAGACCCCTGAGTTCAACTGAATAAGTGAGACTCTGCAAATAAAAACACATCCCGGGAGAGGCTCCTAATTCTTAAATCTGGGGTTCTCCTGAAGTTGTGGACTACAGTGGCCTGGCCAGTAGCCATGCTAGCCAAGGCTTATGGGAGAGGTGGAATCCAAAAGGCACAAACTTCCACTGACGGTGCGTGTTATGAGCGTATGTTCAAAATCAATTACAATGCCTACTTCTAATAGCTTTCATTCCAGAAAAGAGCTCACCAAAAGACTTTCAATGCTTTGGGGAGTTTGGGGATATTGAAAAAATACACCTACCTGGGTATTTGTGATGAAGGTAGTCAACATCTGTGATAAAGCTGTTGTAAGGCAAAAGAAAGCCAACACCCGCTAGAAGCATAGCAAAGTAAATTCCGTGATAGCGATCTTGAGGTTCAGGGTCTTCACAGACTACAGCCCAAAAGAAGACAGAAAGGTGACAAGGAGCTGTGGTGAGACATACTGTCCTTTCAACCCCTGTTCCTGAGCATTTCTGTATCTATCCAGGTGTAAATGTAATGATATGTGGGAATGACCTTGGGAGAGAGGAGGAAGAGCCACAGCCTGGACAACAGTCTGATAAACGAAATTTGAGTCTGAAGGAGGAGGGGTGGAGAAACTGTCTCAGAAGAGACCCTCCCTAGTTTTCGGGAGAGTAAAAGTAAGGACCGGAGGGGTACTTTGAGACTTCTGTTAATGTAACCTTGCAATAAAGATAGAGCTAGTATTCATGTCATGCTTCTTGTCTGGACTACCTTGAATGGCTAACATCAGGTCTGTCCACTGTACAATTTCTGGACCTTGTGTTGTTTCCTGTGCCCTGCACAGATTTAAACCTAGGGATGGGCAAACTTCCCTGGTTGGAATCATGTCAATATGTCCTCATCCATTTTCCAAACATGCTCTTCCAAGTCACAATATTGGCCCAAGAGCAGTGATGACATTAGGAGTCTTCGTCCTGTATGGACCCTCCTGGAAATGGAAATTAGCTAGGGCAATTTGGGGGCAAACATAGGTATAAACTCTTCCTCATCTTTGGCTGGCAGTTACAGCAAGAGATAGCATAATTACGGCCAATCTGAAGGCAGCCGGCAACATCTGGGAGGTTGCAGCGAGAAAGCAAAATTGTAATGGTATGTGGGAAAGACCTTGGGAGACTGGGCAAAGAGATGCTGCCAAGGGAGTGGTCAGATAAGAGGCAGCATAGCCCGCAGCTGGATAATGGGTGGAGCAAGAGGATCAGAAGGGACCCTCCCTACGTTCTTGGGGTGTAAAGGAGACAGGGGGAGGACTGTACTTGCAGACTTGCAAGATTGATGTCAGCCTTGCAGGGTAAACCAGACAGGAATCACAACCAGATGAGCTAATTCTACTTCGTTGTAAAGCTACACAGACAGAATCTTTTCTGTTTCCTCATTGATTAACCAATTAATTAAACGCCCCACCTTTCCTCGCTTGGATAAGGGAGCGCTCTCACTCCAGTTCTAGAACTGTCACTCTCAAAAGGATGGCAAAGTGAAAAGCAGAAAAATCTGCTCTGGCTCAGGGATCAAGCTGGAAAATATGAAGGAGCAGCTAATCACCACTTTCTTCTCCCAGCCTGAGAAAAAGAGATTTTAACCACCATGTTTAGCTGTGATTTTTTTTAAATGCTGGCATTCAGGTTTCAAAACTGCCTATTTCTCCTTGTTATCTAGGGCCTGCCGGGCTGATGTACGCCGCTCGATAAACACCACCCTGATTAAATTCCATTAGGCAAATTGCAGCTTTTGAGGTGATAGTCAAGAGGTGCGCAAATGAACGAAATAGCCAGATCGTACAGCACGGAATAAGAAAAAGCAGACAAATGTTCCAGAAGGCAGGGCTACGAGATATCGGCCTCATAGAAGCTAAGCACACAAAAGAATGTATCTTCTTCACGGGACTGGCTGAACTGAGCACATCTTTTAATAGGAATATGGGACATCCGTGGTGAGGCCATGTTGAAGAGAGAAGTCATTGCAGCTCTTAGCGGTGAACTCCATCTTTCAAGACCATGAAACATGTTCTGCCAAATTCTGTGATTTGTTCCCATCCACCCACTGCCATGCCAAATTGATATGACCCCAGGTCTAACCTACATGCGTGCTTCATTCTTCATTTTCTTTTCTCTTCATTTTTCATGGGCCTGTTTAAATGCGCCATATTATTTAGAGGAAAAAGCATGACTTCATCAGTGCACATCATAGATGGCAACCAGCCATCCTACCTTGATAGAACAGGCCTGGGGCTATGCGCATCAGAAACTTAATCAGTTCAACATCATCCCCTGTGATCCACAGGCAGAAGGATGTCTTTGAATTGCCCAGATGTTCTATAAATACTGAAGCCTGGAATGGACATATTTTCCTAGCGTACTTTCTCCAAGCCTTCACTATTGTGCCAGCCTAGTGCAGAGAGGCCATTTGTAAATCTGACCATGAAGCTCAGGACTTACTCTGTACAAATCCAAGGAACTGAAAACCAGGTTCACAAACATCCTAAACACCAGCCTATCCCATCCTATACCTTTCAAATGTATTGGATTCCTAACCTTAACTGTAACCACAGCTCTCACCAAAGGTAAGCAGAAAAAGAAAATGAAAAGAATTTCCCCCGAACAAACCAGGGAAGACTGAAATGATCAGCTGAATGTGGGAGGATGAATGATTATTAACAGAACTTTATGAAAATGGAGGCCAGGTTGAGTGGAAACTTGATCAGAAGAGCTTCGTACGTCCTTAAGCTGCAGAAACACAGGCATGGACATGTAAGGGAAGGAGATCACAAAATACAAAAACGCTGAGGGAAGTTTCATTGCTACCCCAAAAAGCAACACTCTCCAGGGGAACCACATCTGGACAGTTCCCAAACCATCTCTTGAACCCTTACCTGGTTCCATGAAAGTGAGGACACCCTTGGTCTGTCCTGTTTTGTCCTGAAGCTCTTCTTCTTCCAGTTGGTAGCTGTCAAAACTGAAGCTCATCACGACGTTCCCTTCAGGTGTCACCCCTGGACTTCCTTCCTTGAAGTGGTGATCTCCCCCTACGGAAACCATGGCTGCTGACCTAGACGTTGGAAGAAGAGATCACCATCTCCATGCATGTCCCAGTGGATCATCAGCGTTACATACTTCGTCTGAAATACTTTTCAAAGACATGGATTGTTCTGTTGCAAGGAGGAATCAGCACCTTTCAGCTATGGAGGTACAAAGCTCCAGATAAGTATGGCGCTTGTAGGACACAGAGACCTCAAAACACCCATCTGCTATCAGATAAATTCTTCAGTTCAAGCAGGAATTGGAAATTTGCTGAAGGGGCAATGGAATGGAATTGCTTAAGCCTATCTTCTCCCATCTGAGCATTTTCTAGACTTCAACTCCCAGCATTCTCAGTAATGATCAGGCTGAATTCTGGGAAGAGAAAGTCTACACATCGGAAGGGCACTCAGATTATTTATTTTATTTATTTAGTAAACCAATGTATACAGTTGCCCATCACACCACCGGCGACGCTGGGTGGCGTATGACAAATTAGACAAGGCTCCCTCTGCAGAATTTCTTCCATTAAAAAAAAAAAAAGGATTTGGATTAATTTCTTAAAAGCATGTTGCCAGGAGCAAGCAATGAGCTCCAAGGGAAATATGTGAACAGAAAAACAAAACTGGCTCATTTAATGTCCAGTTCTTTCTACTAGAGCGGTGTTTCTCAGCCCTGGCAGCTTGAAGATGTGTGGACTTCAACTTCCAGAATTCCCCAGCCAGCTAGGCTGGCTGGGGAATTCTGGGAGTTGAAGTCCACACATCTTCAAGTTGCCAAAGTTGAGAAACACTGTACTAGAGGCACAAAATCCATACGGAAGCATGAATATATCAATATTCCCCATCCTGGTTGGTCCAAATGTCTATCTTTACCCCGGCCGTGGATAATGGGAATCGTGATGCACTACCCCGAAACACACCAGATCAAGGGAAATGAATCCATGTTATGAAGCCCTGCACTCAAAAAAACACTGCTATGAGTTTTCCTTACTTTGGAAGCGAATGGTCCCCCCAAGGCCATTTTTTAAATTGTGTTTATTTCAGAAGAAGAGCTAAGGATGTGTGTATTTCTCTTCACTGGCTCAGTACAATTTAACCGGGTTTAACAGGGCTTAGCATGAACTGGGAAGCGCCATCAATTCCAGTGAGTTGCTAATTCCTGAAACATGAAGCTTGAAAAAATAAACTCGGAGTATTCTGCTTTCTCCTGTTCCTATCTATCTTGCTATGCCAGGCCAATATTATACTTGACTGGGAACTTACCTTCAGAAGAGAAAAAAAGACATCCTGGTAGGATTTAACCTCTTTTGTTAACCACCAAGGTGCCTAAACAAGGTTCTAGTCCACAGTGTTTCCAGAAGCCAGAATCCTTCTCTAACACCAGCAGCAACAGTCCGACTCTTCAGCTTTTCCTGTCTGCAGATTTGCACCATTGATACAGCCTGTGCCCAACCAACTTCTTGGAAGAACATTTGAGCAAGGTTTTTAATTTCTCAGTGCTGACAACAGAGAGCACTACATTTATATTACCCTACTACTCCATGCTCTTTTTATCCACAGAATGGAAAACAAACGTGCTTTTCCCTTTCCCTGGGGGAAAATATTGCAAGGTATCCAGCTGGAAGTTCACATTCTATCCTTTGTAGCTGACTTTGATCTCTTTCCTGAAAGGACATCATTTTCTTTATAGTCTGAGCTGTCGCTAAGAAGGCATACAGCTGTTTCCTGGCATTATTTCTGAGTGGGATGAAGTCGTGCTTAATTAACCTTATGTTAAGTCTTTTCAGCAGGTGAAGAGAAAAAAAGAAAAGAAACATGGAGGAATATGTACGTCTGCAAACTTAACATGCCTCCCCCCCAAAAAATAAAGGGTGGGGGGAACAGATAAGGCCAAGACGCTAGGAAAGGATTTCTAAATACCTGTTCTGAAAGACGTGGGGATTATTTGCCTTTTAAACCGTCATCCTATTTTCAAACCCCCAACACTGCCAATATTCAGCCAACTAACCTAGCACACAAAAACATCATTGAGTAACACCTGTTAGATCTAGGTTAACACCTTTGTTACCCTGGGTCTATCTTAGGAATTCATCCTTGTCTGCCCAGTTTAGTTTTAGGCATTTAGGATATTATAAAATAAAAAGCAGCTCTACTGCGAATGAAGCAATTTAAAACAACAACAGGCTGCTTTCGATTCAGAAAAGCAACTCAGCTGGGGGCGGGGCGGGGGGCTTATATGTTGACAGTATCTCAGCTTGGAAGATCCAGCATGAGAAATTTAGCTACTTTTATACCTCAATTCCACACTTTCCTGGTTAGTTGTAAAAGGGAGGGAGGGAGGGAGGGAGAAAAGAGAGAAGGAGAGAGGAAGAAAGGAAAGAGAGAAGGGAAAGAAGGAAAGAAGGAAGGAGATAGATAGATTCAGGAAGGAAGGAAGAAGAAAGAGAAGAAGGAAGGATAGTCTTAGAAACATTGAAGGAGCTAATTATGTATCATGTTATCAAAAAACCTCCTCCTATACTCCTAGGGAGAAATCAGGAAGGAAGGAAGGAAGGAAGGAAGGAAGGAAGGAAGGAAGGAAGGAAGGAAGGAAGGAAGGGAGG